TGGCAGGCAGCTGCTTCAACACCACGCTTTCAGTGCCACAATCCTTTATCAACCTCATTCAACACCTATATGCTATGCTATATGATGAGGCTACATGCCAAGTGATTCACAATGGGAAGATCAGTGGCGTCTTTGAAGTGAAGTAAAGACGGGAGTAGGACAAGGTTGGCGCCTACTATCACCGATCGTCTTCCTGATTGTGGTCGATGGGACCGGACCGGACCGGACCGGACTGGACTGAATCGTGCATCAGACAACTGCGAGGATCGAGAAGAGGGTCATACGCTGTCTGGACCGATAAAAAGAGCCTAGATGACTTGAATTTCGCCGCCGCCGCCGATGATGATGATGATGATTTATGTCTAATGTCACACAAGCTCGAAGATCTACAGGCGAAAACCAACAAGTTGGCAGGAGAGGCACCTCAAGAGATTAGCTTGCATCTTCAGATGCTTGACGTAAAGTTTGTTAGCATTTGCTACAAATATTATTTACACATTAATTCTCGTTGTTTGCGGCTGATGTAACGCCAGTGAAATAAAATACTCTAATATTTTTCTGCAAATGCTGTTCTTGTTAAGTTGTTCAATCTCATCAGGAGGATTAATGGTGTGAAATATCATCAGTAGTGCTGATAAGCTGTTAAACAACTGGAAAAAAGGAATAAATGCTAAAAGAAACTTGGATGAAGATAGGACACCAATGCAAGAGATTTTGAGCCACGTTTTATTAGAGATTTGAAACCATCAGCGAATCATGTCAATTCTGGGCGTAAGTTCTTCCGATAAGTTCAACCTCATACTAGCCTGGACACTTTCATCAAACCCTCAACTATAAACTTTGTGAATTGATAACTTCGTCTGACGATCTGACCATCCATAATAACCTTTTTCAAGCTGAAACCCATTCCAGTTCACCTAGCGCGTCAGAATAAAGGACGACACGGTATGTGTAACAGAAACAGTCACAGCCTCGATTGCAATAGGAATGGTGAGTTTTCTGTTCTCTATCAGTCCCAATAGGCTCTTCCCGACTAGCATTAAATTGTGCGAGTGATACTCGTCGACAAACGATTAAAATATAGTAAGTTCTATAAAATTAACTTCTAACTATCGGAGATAAGATGAATATTGGTTATCGATTCGTGTTCTACGACAAACGAAAGGTGAATAATGAGCTAAATTGAGAAAATACTGAATGGCTATTCTATTGTCTGCTTTCAGGGGAAGAGATATATACGCTACTGTGATTGATTCGCTATACGAGTATTTTTTACTAGGTAATTTCAGCCAATCACTTGGAGGAAAAAGTCTGCTTGACTTCATCGATTTGAAATGCTTATGTATTCAGTAGCTGTTAGAGCAGAGATGTATTTACTGTAGTAATTAAATCACTGGCATTGACCAAATCAAGTCTAGACTGGGCAATAATAAGTGTATTTGTCAGGAACATGCAAACAAACATCTGATTGGAACTACATAAAATAATACAAACCCTCCTAATAATAATGACGATATAAGCGTACACGATATTGTCAAACATAAATAATTTCGATTGTGCAAGTTGCAGTCACCTTATTAATTTTGTCGATTTAGTCGGTCAGACTTTCTGGACTTAGGTTTCACATAGGTCGCTGCTCATCCCTTAGCTGAATAGACTTGCAGTAGTTTTGAAATCCAAGCGCATGACCTACACAAGACATGAAGTTACTCAAGCTGGTTGCGTGCATAAATTAGTCCACAAATGTAAATCCTAATTAAAAGCAACAGAAACGCGTAATCAGGTATAGGTTGACATGCTATGAGTGATTTGTACATAACTTTGTGTGAGGAGAGTACTGTGTTGATGTCTAGTTTGACTAACAATAAACTGTGACTGTACGGTGGATACTTACTGGGGCTCCGGATACCTATTGACTCACTGTACTTAAATAATGACTGTTCTCCAGCGTTAAGTGAAACTGTGACAAAAGACAGAACTACTGATGAATCAACGGAGTTGCATGCCTATGCATGTTTTGTTTGTTTATAAAATAATCTGTCATTTAAATACAAAGTATGTGACCACAAAAAGATCATAGTTGTTAACCATCCGCTCGTTAATAAATAGTCTAAGAACCGAAGTTGATCAGGGAATGTCTACCAAACAATGCGTGCCCTCTAAAACCCATTTGGAAATACCTCATTAATCACCAACGGAGATCAGAGTATAACAGCGTAGAAATTGCGAGGAATTTTTTCAACACTGTGTTTCCAATGTTATCAAAAAGTGGCTTAGAGATGATAAGTCAGGAACCTATCAGCTTTCAGAGTTATTATCACTGTTTTTAATAGCATAGCCATTCAGTCAATGAAAAGTGTACAAGATGTTGACACTGTGTGCCTCCAGTTAGGTTTACCAATTTGCAGTACATGTGGAAGCGGATGCAACGGAAAAACTGAGAAAGAGCTGTCTACCCAAATTCTTGAGCATGTGTCAAGTTAAGGAAGTTGAGTTTCAAAACTCCAAGTTCACTGTGGTTTGCTGAAAGCATAATCATCACACAATTATGCCCTAAATTGTATATCTTGCCATTCTGTCACTATTTTGGTACTCGGTAACTTTGATGTGAGTATTGAATTTAGGCACTTTAGTAGAGTATAATTTCACATTCAATAAGTTTATTTGATATAACACAGTGGAACAGTATTATTTACTAGATGACGTGATTAGTAAAGCTTACTACTCGTGATTATATCAAGGCAATCACATAAGTCCTAACACCTTGTTTGTGTAGTGCTGTCATTTGTCATCCCTTGGTTTCAATGGGAAAAGGGTTTTCCATATATATAGATTGAAAGGGTTTTGTGGATTTGATGTTGAATCCATGGACAAAGATTCGGTAATCTGTCTGTCTGTCTGTCTCTCTACCTAACTGAATTTGCCTTTAGGATTGTTACCCGCTCTCACTCTGAATACACTGAGGTAGTCGAGTTTCTTCATAAATTACCTATCTTATTCTAAATCTACCTAAGTTTCCATGTTCTGCTAATCGAATTCACGTTAGTCGGTTCGTTTAACGTATGTTCTTGACCCCACAATCAATACATGGTATTTGATAAACTTGCGTCATTTCAATAAGATCTTCAAGTCAACAGAGTTTCTTTCTGAGTGTGACTGTAGGTTCAAATGCCAGCCTAATTCCCATCTTTTTAAGAAATCCATGCAGGGTTTCTGATATCGACCATTTGTATGTCAAAACTACAGAGACATTGAAGCACCTCTTACTTGTATTGCAACCACTACTCAAATTGCTACTTATTCTCTTCCTATCTGAAATAAACTTCAGAGGATAGTTGTCGAGTAGTACAACTTATTTCATCTGTTTTACATAATTATTTGAGTCCTTTGTTTTACTAATCAGACTTCTAAGTTGACTGGTGAAGCATTGCACTCAGTCTGTTTCAATGGATCATCGGTGAGCCGTCCAAAGTGCGTTGGTTTTCTGTTGATAGTGGCCTTTCTTCATCTGATTCTGCAATGCAAATAGCTAATTCTCTTTCTTCATCCTTTCACTTGTAAATGAATTGGATTACATCTACTTATGAGTTTGCACGCATGAAGAAACTAGCGATACATCTTGGTTTCAACACAATTAAGGTGTCATTCACTTATCTGCAGGATGTCCTGTAGGTAGGATCTATTTTCCTGCTATAGTGGACATGTTGGTGACCCCACTGCATACTGAGATGCGAAGACTAAATAGGTCAGTTGTCTAGACTAGGATTTTAACTATTCCACACAGTCCACTGGGATTATTGGTTTTAGATATTAAATCCAACACCGTTTTGCGTCAGGTCGGCTGCAGATTTCATCCTGTTGTTGACAGTGTCTACAGATGCTTGAATATCCGCATATGTTTCTGTTTTAATGTGTCATATTGACTTTTAAGGAGTCTGATCTCTCCATAAACACTGTTAAATCACCTTTGTCATATCTGGGATTAACTACACTGTTGTTATTCTCTAACTTTTTTTTAAACTAAGTATTTCTGGCTTTCTTACTTTTCTCATAGCCTTCTTTGGTTGCTTTGGTGTTCGTTTTATCTATTGGACTCGATGCTACTTTCAAGCTATGCATGACATCTTCAGCTTTCAGTCAACTTATTACTACGTTGAAGTTTGAGCCTTTCTCAAGTACATTTATTGCAGAGAGACAGATAAAATCAACGTAGAACCTCGCACACAAGTACATCAGTTCAAGTTGCCACACTTCACAATAGTATAAAAAGAACAGGTGGAGAGAAAAAGAGTGATATTAAGGTAAACAAAGTTGTGT